TCACTTCCGAGTTCTTAAAGGACGCAATACATAACTACAGTAGCCATCTTGAGATCTCTCGGGATGGGCGCAAGATCCGATGGAAGGGTGGCCGTGATGTGACCATGCACAGCGGCGAAGGCTCGTCGGAGCATTACAGCGCCGCACCAAACGATACTTGTAAGCCTAGGACCACATCACATGACTGCTCTGCAGGCATGACTAATGCGTCCGACTACTTAAGAGCTCAGATCACACATTTGTACATACACAGAAGAATACACTCATTCATGTGACCTTATACTACTACCACCTTATGCTTACAATACTAGCTCCGTGTTTTCATTCAAGCGTATCAAGACCGGTACCAGTAGCACCAGCAGCGACCTTTCTAATAAGTCTGGACACGCAAAAAAGCCAGCTCGAGTCCAGCATGAGAAGGAACAAAACAAATTTGCCTACAAGCTTCTTTTCTTTTAGGAGAATGATTCTGAGAACGAAGATAATTTCTACGGATTCGACGCTGGGTCTGCAGCCAACTACTCTTATCAGCCGAAACCCACTAGCAACTCTTCGGGCTTTAACAGCTCGATTATGCAGGCAATTCGATGCAACGGTTCACTCATAGAACACATCATCTGCCTCAAGTGACCACGCGGAGCCTTAGCGCTTGACGCAAGCTCGTTCATTCGCACTTGCGATAGCAATGCTAACCTTTCAACCAGAAGAACTACGGGGGGATTATCATGTGTTGCCTTTAGATTGTTAACGATCAAATTTTTTGGGGTGCCAGCGCTAGGCCCTAACAAGTGACGCTTTCGAGTTCTGTGAGAGGGCTGATGAACGTTGTCCATCTTCCAGATGCTCTTTTTTAAAAGATTTGGTTAGTCGACGACCTTAGGATAGTCGCAACGCGAAGGCTGAACATAAACTTAAATCGTCGAAAGCCATACCCTGCTACCATATTTTCGTCGGCCTGGCGCTAGGACCAGGAAAAGTTTTGGGCTGATGTTAATATCTCTGCTCTCCATACCAAGACTTTACTGCCTTTACATCATAGAATCGATAAGATGGTTCTAGACGAAAAACCTTGGATCGTATGCTGTAGCATTTACGCCCAGATAGTGACTCTGCATATGACCATGCGAGGTAGGGAGTTGTCTAATCAAATGTCCTACGATCTGTGACTGTGGCTGTAACATAGGTGCCTCGAAAGGATAGGGTGTTGTGGGGTTGCTTCTAGGAGCAAAATTAGAAGAATGCGTCGCGCTGTGTAGAGAGTCGTACACGGACAGATCGACAACACGTGTAGTAGATACAGGGATCATAAGTTGCTAGATCGTATTGAAAGGGAGTTGGGTGCCAGTTAGACGGAGATACGACGGATCAGGTCATTCGAGAACATAGGAGAGCAAAGTTGCAGCAGAATTTTCCGAGAAATCGTCGCCGACATTAGAGGAAAGCGTCCCCGAGTCAGTGGCATTGAGGCTGAGTATAGGTGCGGGAACCGTATGGGAAAGGCTCAGTGATCGAGGAAGCGGAAGGTTGGGCAGGATTTCGGAGAGCTTGGCCAGAAGAAGAGGAAGATACCGAGACTGTCCTCCACGGATCGTCGATATAAAGGTCAAGAAGCGACACACGTACTCGCAAGGACTTAACGCGAATGCCTCCGGCGAGAAAGATGTGCAAGCGACTACATCAATGAGACAACAAGCAATATCAAATAACTTCTCAGTCTGCAGCGCTGTTAGCTAATGTTCGACGTAATAGGTATGGTAAAACGTCGCAAGGTTGCATGTGCAGGATTGGTTACATAGGGCAACTCTGCTAGTCAAGGCACGGACGTCAGAGAAGGACGTTGTCTAGTGGTACGCTAGTAAGATCGAAGTGTAGCAGATTGTTGCATCAAGAGATAGGCTCGAACGTCGATGAACTCTGAAATTGAGAACGAATGATGCGTAAGAAAAACCTAATCTACTTACCAATCCTGCGCCATGTGCATCCAAGGCTTGCTGGGGAAATTGATGCGAGATCGTAAGAACAGACTGGTCATCAATTAATCAATCAATCTAACGCCGTCTAAATTGATTGATTGAGTGCTTTTTTAGGCTCAGATTGAGTTGAGATTGATTAAGTTCTACACACAGAGCCGAAATTGAGTTAAGTTGAATGACAAAATTAGAACGTAAAGTTAAGTTAATTAAGATTAATTAAGATTGATTGAGATTAATTAGGGACTAATTATAAGATTGACTTTGACCTATTAAGAATTAGTTAGGTGTTTTGCCTTTAGGCCTATTCTTCTCCACGATCAAATTAACTGTAAGGCGCTAAGTAACTTAGGCTTCATATTAAGTCGTCGTACACTAAGCAGATCTCTAAGCTCACTAAAGATTCTCTCGCAGTTAGCTGAGGCAGCTAGAATAGAGTAGATATTAAGGGCTAGTTGGGAGAGAACTAGGTATCGAGAGCGCGTAACCAGCCAATAGTTAATTAGGTGCCTTGCGAGAGGGTCGTCTTCCGCTAAAGGCGCCTCGCGCTTCCAAATATCATACTTATCGTCCATTGTGCTAGCTACCTGCTTTTGGCCTGCCTTGATAGAGCTCCGAAGGAAGTCATCCCGCCCTAACGCTCTACCAACGCGCTAGCGCTTATGCGGTCGCGCGGCTCCCTTAGACGACGACGGCCTACTAGCTTTTGCAGCTACCTTATCCTTGTGTGACCTCTATAATCGTGAGAAGGACTGGTAGCCTTGCTCTAACTAGTCCTTAAATAGATGAGGACCCTCTATATCTTTGTTATAGTTGTCTAGTACTTTCTATAGGTCTTTAAGCGTGTATTTGTACGTAGGGTAGAGTATAGTTGCTGTAAAGTAGATAGGGGAGTCTCTAAGCTTGTTGTAGTACTTAGAGAGCTTTGCGTGGGCGTTGTTAACGTTCGTCTTAAGATAATCCTCTGGCGCGTTAGGGTCTTCATAATCAATACTCTGTAGTCTCTCTTTTTAAGATTTAAGTTGCGCAAGTAGCCATTTAAAGGTAATAAGAACCTCCTAAATAGCACTATAGCTACTAGAAGCGCCTCTGCCCTGCAGTAACATGGTAGCCTCTTTGAACGGCTTAAGCAGCTGCTTATACTCAGTTATCGTTGCCCAATCCTTTGCGTGCATTCCTCCTTCTTAAATAAACTTGCGTAGCTGCTCGCGTGGCTCTTTCTGGCGAGTAGCTGCAGCGACTTAGTATTCCTCTATTTTAAGTTGTATGTAGGCGTCAAGCGCTGTGTAGAGCTCGCATGCGCGATCGAAACAATCGTAATAGGAATTCCAGCGTGTCTTGACAGGCTTAACAAGTTCTCTTAGCTTAAACGGCTCCTTACAGTGCTTTGTATTAGCTTCTTAAAGCCTCAGAAATAGCTCTCGGTTCTGTGGCGATGATGTAGCAGAGGTAATCGCGTTAAAGAGTACAGCAATAGGACCGAACTGTCGCCACTCAGCTATAAACTCCTCTTCTTCCTGTGTACGTGTTAGCGGAGTAAGTACTACACAGTAAGGTAGCTTACATTAATATTAAGCCCCTTGTTTTTAAAAGAGTCCTTATCCCGACCCTATATAATCTCTTGCGCAGCGAGGTTAAGAATGTAGCATGTACAGCGTAACTGGCGATAAGGCGCATAGAAACTGAGATCTTCTGCGAGGAACTCTACTGCGACATTATTGTTCGCAGCGTTGTCTAAAACAAAGTAGCCTACGTGTTCTTTATTAATCTCAAAGGTTATAAGCGTGTTAGATACAAGAGAGCTAATATTCGCGCTAGAGTGTTTTCCGTGCAGCACGGGTAGGCTAAGTAGGTAGTCTACTAGCTTAGCAGCCTCGTTAAGGTGATGTACGCAGATTCCCGTGATAGCTCTCTTGTTGCCTGTCGACGTCTAATTGTTAAAGGAGAAGTGGATAAGACTAGTTGCTTTATGGAGGTAGTCTACAACAGCTAGTATAAACGCCTTATATTTGGTAATAATATGATCGCGAAGGGAAACATAGCTCTTCTACAACACCGACTTAGCTAGCGGATTAGCAGCCTTTATTAGCGCGCGGAAGGAGGGGTTTTTAATCGCCCGAAGAGACTAGTTGTCGTCTGCAATCTAGCGAGTAATTGCCTAGAGAAACTTACTACAGTTAAAGCTTCTTGCTAGCTCGTTGGCTACGTCCTAAGATACCTTAGTCCCACTAGCCTGCATAACAGCGAGTATTAATGTTTAACTAGCTGGGGTCTTTGTAATCTTGCCTAGTTTATCGTAGCTGTAACTAGGCTTAATCTGTGCTAGGTGGCTTGCTGCAGAGCTAGTAGAGAGATGAACGTTGTATTCTCTACTTATTTTCTTAGCTGTGTAGCAGTGTTTACAAAGCTAGTACTTCTTCTGCTGCCCCCAATGCCAGACTGGCCAGCTGTACAGATATATCTAGCTTAGTTTAGACCCGCGCGCGTGTTTATAAGGCCGTTTCTGTAAATGAGGTACTCTCTTCTAATTCAGGCCATCGTATGTATCGTCGTCGATATCAGATACCTCGAGAGGTAGAAGGTCAGAGTCGTCATAGACTTCGGGCGCGTCGACCTTAGGGTATACGGAGGTAGCTACTAGAGGTAGGCACGTATTATCTGCGCAGGCAGCTGTTTTCTCAATCGCCTTAGGAAGACTTTCGCTTATTATATGTAGAGGTAGGCGTGAAGGTTGGCGGTATTAGTGAGGTAGCTGTTAGTAGGAGTTGTTGTGTTAAGTCGCGACGTAACGCGCTAATAGTGCTTACTAAGTAGGTTATTAATAAGGAGAGAGTCTAAGCTAAACAGAGTACAACCTGCAACTACCCTTTGATAATAAAAAATAGTCTTGCAATATATTTTAAACACAACCTAAACTTAATTAATTAATTAACTTTATGTTACTAAGTTGAGTTGGAGTTAAGTTCTAACTATCCTAAGTTGAGTTGAAGTTGATTGACGAACTCAATCAATCAATCAATCAGATTGAGTTCAAGTTGATTGATGACCAGTCTGCGTAAGAAGGTCTCTGGCTATCTCGATTGGATACTTATACGTAAGGGAATTGTCATTTGAGACACTGCTCACTAGGCCCTGGCAGACACTCAGCTGCCATGCCTGTGACCGCAACCATTGTTGAGTTATGCGAATCTGTATTCCCTGGACTTCAGTACACTCGAGATGTGCTGGGACGGCTTCTGAGAGCTGGGTTTGCACCTGTGTAATCCATGCAGCACTTGCATGCGTGTTGTGCACTCGATTCCAAAGGTTGATGAAAGTGTCGTCAATAATCTTGAACATATTGATCATGACTTCGAGTCCAACAGCGATAGGTCGATCGGAAGGTACCTCGTCCAGCAAAGGCGGATATATGGTTGGATACAAGGAGATTGGGCGGTGTTTGTGCAACGCATAAGTCCTGAGAGCAGTTAGTGAGAGCCTTGAGGACAGGTCTTACGCCGAGGATACCCATAAACATACCTTTCAGCTATGAAAAGAAGCCAGTACAAGACTCGTTTCCTTGATGTATCCAGAGGGTCATGCTTGTACGTTTCCTCGTCATGCATGCCTAGCAGCTGCGCCTGCGTTGTGGCATCCCGAAGATACGTCCATGCTGTGTTCTCGCGTGCCAGTCCGAAATAGCAGCCACTGTAAAACCACGAAGTAAGCACACTCATGTGGGTCGGGTTCTCGCGATGATCATAGCCCTGTCGTACATGAACCGACTCTTCCAGCAGCACTTGGCCGATGCCGACGTTTGGCATGTGAGCCATTTCTTGACGCGGCAGCACGTTGACCAGCGGTTTATGGTTAGCTTGGATCATGACGTAGGCGCATAGTGCGACGATCATACAGTATGCCTCTGTAGAGCGCTTCATACCAACGACTACTTCTTGCGCTCTTTGCCGATGTAAGACGGGCTCTGAAGGGGAGACATGCGTGAAGAAATGTTCTATGCAGCTCTCAACGAGGGCGAAAGGCAACAGGCCTTGAGTGCGAGCAAACGTGGAAGAGATTGACCGTCCATCGAAGCCGAGATCGATAGGGGATCCGGCAGCAAGCTGGGCCTCACGAAGTTCAGATAGGACTTTAGCGCGGCTACCCTTGGGACCTTTCTTCTGTGGTATTGCATTGTATGTGTAACGGGCTAGAGCCCGGATGCTATAGTGATCCTCGGTGGAACCTTCGGAGCCTCCTCGGCATTCTAGAAGCTTCAAGATGCTACGCGTACGATAAGCTAAACATATATAGATATCGCAGCACCATAGATAGGTTTTCTTCTTTATCGAATACAATCCTGTTACCAGGCATCGGCATACTTTGCGCAGCCCCTTACAGTATGTACATGCAAGACCAGCGGAAACGCAGTTCTTGCAAGGACCCGTGCCTTTACCAAAGCACTTGATCTTCCTTCGATGACAGCTACGAATGACAGAGTGAGTCGTGTGGCTTGTGGGAGTGTACCGACGATACGTACCTGTCGCAGGCTCGCTTGACCGGAGTAGTTGTGGTAGGATTGGAAGCTATGGAGAGTAGCAAGCTAGCGTGGGAACGTCTCGTCATGTACGTGATGAGAAATGCAGTCGCCGAGCGGATCCGCTGGTTCCTATTAGTACAACGAACATGTTGCGCCTACGTTCGGGGAGTTATCTTTGGAAATTGCTTGTGTCACTGTGCTCCAATGAACGCTCATTCGCACCAGTTAACCTAGACAATTCAAAAGCACAAGCGTCGAAGTGCACAGCATTACCGGGCCAGCCCGGATGGGGGCGGTGGCTTGCTAATTCCAGGACATAGCATGGTGAAGCGTCGCAGGAGATTAGCCGAGTCCCTGCCAATATCGCACATGTCGACTGATGAAGATTTCTGTCTTAGGCAGCGGAATCAGAGAGATCGATCGGCGAGATGAAGAATGTTGTTGGAATGCTTCTTAGCCTTGTCGGGACGGCAGACGGGTTCTTGCAAGAACGTCTAAATTAGCTACGTCCGCGTAACGTGCTGGCCGGGTCGATATGGGCGCTGCCGTTTTGCAGCAGGCGTTGGATACTGCCACGTCTCACATCTTATTGGTTGATGAGGTAGACGATCTGTCCCCTGGAAGGATCCTACAGTAGCTTATCACACTTATGGAAAGCACTGACATGTCGGGGGTAGCGGATGAGGTAGCGGTGCAGATCATTGGCTTTTTGGTGGCTATGCGAGCCGCGGAAACGCTCTAGTCTCCATCCTCCGCGCGCACGTCCCCGCAACCGAGTCAGGCAATTCCCCGGTTTCTAAACCCTCCTTGTCGTGAGTTACTATAATCTTGTTTCGTTTCAACCAATAATGCACCCGAGCACACTTAGTCACTACGTAACTCTCTGCAGCCAACTTGATCATGTTAATAGCATTTGGTCACGAGCTGAGGTCTGCGTGGAGGTTAAGAAAGTTATGGAGAATTCAGATACTGTACTAGGCAAGTATAGCACACAGGAAGGCAAGGCCCCATAACTCTACGACACATTGTGTGGGACGGAGGGTTAGGTGGCGGACGGACTTGGATGGTCCGTAACCGCATTCTAGCAACATGAACATGAGCATCAGACTCTCGCTGTCCACATTGCCGTCCTGCGGCTTAGGTTGTTAGAAGTAAATGGTCTTCCACTCCGGCTGAGAGCCGCGGAGCCTTTTTGAGCAGCGATCGGGAGAACGGCAATGATCCTGCTGGTCCGTAGACCTAGATCGCAAGGATGATGTCTGGCTGCGGTGCTGTTGGGCTGATTGGATATCAAGTCGCTGGAGACTGTTCCCGAAAGCATAGATGCGGAGAGCAAGTACTGTAGCTTATCAGGCAACGCCCGATCTGGGGCAACGCCCGATCCCGATCACTAACACCACCTAGACGAGGTTGTAGAGCCTCACCTAATAGCTATTATCGCGATCCTTTTTGGAGGAGTAATTTAGACGTCAGATTGCATGTATCTATCTACTTGTATTTGGCTGGAATCTTGATTGATCGGGCGCGACGCGATCGCGGAGCCGGGAGGCCTGTTTCCGGTGCAGGTGCTGAGGGTGGTTTATGAGCAACACCACTACTTTGCACAGCTGCAGAACCACGTTTCTGCCTCTTTTTGACTCCTTGTTGCTGTGAGGCCTTGCGCTTGCCTTTTGGGCCAGTCTGTGATCTGTTTTGAGAGTCGCGCTCCTGTTTCTTGCGTGAGAGGGGATGAGGTTGTGCTGGGTTGCACCAACAGTTGGAACGATTTCGGTCCGCGACAGCCTACCGGTAAAGGCGGGTGCTAGACGGGACCTACCACGGGCACGAGGCTTGACCGTGTGATAGATCACACTAGCGCGCATGATCTCTGCGACTAGCCCCACCTGCGCAGGTTAAATACCACTCGTTACACACATGCGGCGCGAATTTGGCGAGCTGGTGAATGCTCGACATACGAAAGCCGCGTTAGGCTTGTGCTGGATCGCGATTGCGCGTCCATAAAGTTTGCGTCGGCGAAGTCAAGCTCCGATCGTGGCCCCCTTCTTGAGATCAGCGAATCAAGTCGTAAATTGGAAGCGACGCACGAACAAGGCTCTTCTTATCACATAGAGATCTGCAGTTCGCTACTTGTCTGATTAGCGTCCCTGAAGTTTAATGATCACCCTTGACGTCCTCTTGATTCCGCTTCCTGAGCCGCCTCTCTAAGGCTACCTTGAAGTATACCTAATGGATCTATGTTGTGCTAAGAGCTTAAGCCTTTATCGTCCTCATAACCCATCTGAAATGACCCAGTCTGCCGCATCCAGCATTACCCGGCCATACGTGCGTGCCTGCCTCTAGCAGTAACACAATCCACCCCTCATTGGTGTCCTCTTTCATAGTGTGACCAAAACTTGCTATCTGTAAGGGGCTACGCTCGGGGAGCTATCGCACAGGTATACTGGAGTTGTATTCGATAGAGAAGAGAACTACAGGTAGCTAGGGTTCTGAAGGTCGTTCAGGGGGCGGCGGCTCGGGATAACCTTCCGCCGGGCTCGCTTGCACAGAATCCGGGTGCTTAGGGGGGCACCCGGAATCTGTGGACAGTGCGCCTCGCGCACGTGACCGAGATATCATCGAGGATTCACCAACTGGGCTCCAGCCCATCACACTATCAGTCAATTCAGTCCAGACTGTAGTCTGTGCACGCTAACTCTGTTGCCACGCTAACCTAGCTACCTACCCCTCTAAGACTAGTGCGTACAGACAAAACGAGTAAAGCTATATCTTTATCTTCGGTTTCACCCCTGCCCGTGATGAGATATAAGGTTCTGACAGCATACAGTCTGGACTGAATTGACTGATAGCAAGTCTGGTGTGACCGCTTACAGGTCTCTCGTTCATTAGAGATGGTGATGAAGACGAATGACTCGGGTCCTGCGCGTTGTGCTGGATTTGTTCCTCAGTCTTCGGAAAGTTCTGAACTTTATACTCGACTCAATGAGGTATGGAAAACTCTATCTTCCTTTACGATAAATCTAACTCTGCTAGATACTGGACAACGCCGAACTCATCAATGAGTTCTCTTAGGTCTATAGACAATGAACACATGAAAACGAATGCACAGGCGTTACTTCCCAATCAGTTCCTACACTAGAAGAGATAAACGATATGTTGAAGCAGGAGGAGGAAATCGGAATGTCGCTCAAGCGCGTACGGGATATTGTCCTCAGTCATCAACACAGTACCCTTGCATTCGTGACTGAAGGTTGTAAGCTATTATGAGACGTTGCAACAAGACAACTAGAGCTGGTATGGTCCCTTAACCTAAGAAAAGCCGAAACTTAGGACTAATAGTCTGCAACAGGACAACGAAAGTTAGCGTTGAGAAAGGGCTAACGACTTCCTGACGGCGGTGGGCGTCAAGTCAGCTTTACTCTAGCTTCCAGAGTCCATGGAGAGGATCCCTCTGGACTCTGATCACTCCATGATCGTTGCATTTGATGCACGGAATAACCGAGGGTAGACTAGTGCACGGGACAGGCTTCAACAGTTTGAGGAGAATGCTCCGAACGATATTATGGGCCCGTTTTGTAGGTAGAGCCGGATACAATGCTTTCTATTAAGGTGTCTACTTGTTTTGCGCGTTGGCCATGGTAGAAGCTGCGCGGTACTCCTGCATGCGTTTACTGTGGGCACATAGAACCTTACCTAATCTAAGCCCATCTCTCCTCTATCACACTTGCTCTGTTAATCATGCATTCAGCATATAACGGCGGGCCGCTCTAGCGATAAAGTGGCTAGAGATTTAGCACAGCCTAGCATTCTTCTACTTCCGTCGTACTCCTAATCTTAATCCTGCGTGCACGCTAGCTCCTCGCGAGCGTGGAGTTATGCTACTCTACCTAAGTAGCTCTCCCCAGCGTCGAACCTCCCTACTACAGGCTCTTACAACGTTTATATACTCTCTTAACTCTCTACGGATGCGTTGAACTCTAGCAGTTTCTAGGAGGACGCCTACGCAGCGAGAACAAGTCCTGACTGGCTTGCCGCCGATCGATCCCGCTTCGTTTTTGCCGTCGTACCGCCGCCAGCGCCATACAAACAACCGGAAGAGAAGGACATAGCTCCGAAACAACCTTCGTGTGCAAGAGGACGCCGTAGCTGTGTCGCAGCAAGCTCGCCCTGAGGCAGGCGCTGGACGGCCTAGCCAGGCTCACTGTCACAAGTCGGCTGGACTTGTCAGTACTACTGACAAGCAGACTTGTCAACAAACAAACTGATCTACAGTTTGAATATCTAAACAAGCTAGTTTCCGTCCAGGATTTCCTGTCTAAGTATTCAAACTGTAGATCAGTTTGTTTGTTGACAAGTCTGGTCAGTACGACCATCCGCGCTTGCTCATTTCCTGTATCAAGAGCTATGCAGGTAGGGAAGTATGGTCAAGACGAGGCCCTGGGTATTCGCTAACCTCAAGCTGTTCTGGGCTGAGTCTCTCCCATAGATCCCTCGTATTTGTTCTATCCCTGCTAATCGCCCGGTTTCTTGTGCACTCCGAAGAAGCCGGCTATCTGATTATCGCTATGTCGTTACGGCCACCGACTCTTGCCATCTATGCATTGAGAAGTGTGATTTGGCGTTGCGATATCACGGCTGCGCCTTGCCCTCGATCTTTCCATATCTCCCCGATCAGTCTCTTCTTACTTCCCACTTCCCAGTGATCGGAATGGTCCAGTATGAGTTGGTATTGGCATGGTATATACCGCCAAGACCTGGTATGGTTTGAGAAGATCTCAATACCATGGTATTACCAGTATACCAGGTCAAACCGGTAAGGCTAAAAATAGGCCGAGGTTAAGAAGCTCGGGGCAGCAGGCAGCTGGATTCCCGACTAAACTGGCTAGTGCATCCAAAGAAATCCTTAACCTAAACTAACAATCGTAGTCTACGATAGCCTCTTATACCATTATCATAGAATCTCTAGTTCCAGTCTCGCCGTCATCGTTAACGACACGTTCAGCGTCAATGTCCCTCAGGACTCCTACATCATCACCTGCTCCCACATTACCTGTCTCGACGCCATCACCTGCCCCTATTCAATATCCCGAACCTCCGCATAAGTTTGTACAAGACCACATCACATACCTGAATCGCGCGAAGACGACAAAGAAGGCAGCTCGTCTAGGCTCATCGCATGTATAGAAGTATAGTCTCCATTACATTCAAGACAGTGATAAGAAGGAGGTGTATTACTGTCACGAGTGTGCTGTCAGAAAGTTTAGGCAAGAGCTGTTTGTTATTAACGGCACGTCTAGAGTAAGAAATCATCTTGAACAGAAGCACCAGATTGATCCCAAGAGTAGTATCAAGAATCATAGCTCAACACGGAAGTCTGTACTAGAGCAGCAGAAGAGCGCAGCTACTACTAATACCTTCTTCTAGAAAGACTTAATTAAGAAATTCAAAGAGCTTCTAATTCAGTAGATTGTGTACTGCTATATTGCTTTCTTTCAAGTAGAAAATCAGTATTTCCAAGAACTACTCTTCTTTTTAAATCCAGCACTTCTCAACCACCTCCCAAAGGCAGCAAAAACTATTCGAAGTTAGGTTATAGACGCGTTTCTGTCGAAGAAGCAACGGCTTAGAGAGGACCTCCAGCACTCGCGGAGTAGAATCTCCATCTCCTTTGACCTCTAGACTTCGCCAAACCCTTACGCTATTCTAGGTGTCATCGCCATGTAGATTAACGCTACCAGCAAGCGGCGAACTATCGTTTTAGGTTTACGACGTGTGTACAGCGAACACACTGGCGAAAACATTAGATCAGTTGTCCTTGAATTGCTGAGAGAATATAATATTAGCGGAGATTAGATTAGATACTTCATGCTAGATAATGCCTCGTCAAACGATACCGCTGTTGAGTTCATACTCAAGGATCTCTGCCCATAGATGAAGTCAAAACAACGTCGCCATTGCCGGCTGCGTTGCTTAGGCCATGTCATCAACCTCTGTTGCCAGGCGTTCCTCATAGGTCGGAACTGTAAAAAGTATGTAGCAAAGCTTGAAAAGCACTATCAACGCGGAGACTATACCAAGGTAGAAGAGCTCTAGAAAAGATTTGGATGTTTAGGTCAGCTTCATAACCTCGTGCAGTACATTAGGCTAACTCCGCAACGGCGTGAGGAGTTTGCTGCGATAATTATCAGCGGAGATCTTGCTGAATTCGATAGGCTCGAGCTTATCCAGAACAACTCGACACGCTAGAACTCATAGTTTCATTCGATTACACGTGCTTTAAATGTTCGCGAACGTTTAGAGCTCTTCTCGGCTCGCCATGTACCTAGGAAGGGCTCTCATAGGATTGCGAACTTCAAACTTAATAGACAGCACTAGTTCGAGCTTAAAAAGATTGAACTTGCTCTAAAAGACTTCTACGCTGCAACTTTGCTTTCTGAGGGAAAAAGGACTTCCCTCGCTAACTAGTTCTCAACCTTAGACTGCCTTCTTCGAGAAATAAACGAGACAAAAGATCACTACTATAACATCTATACCGAAGACGACAATAACTTCACATAGAAGTACCTCCAAAGTTGTGCAGATGCCGCGTGGTCAAAATGCGAGGAATATTACAACAATCAGCAGCTAAGTTGGCAGCATCGATTCCCTAAAGATACTAATCTTCCACCAGCGTACTATGCAGCTCAAATACTCAATTCATATCGCAAGTAGGCATAGTTTAGGCAAGAATGGGTTCTCGAAGGTGACGAAGAAAAGCAGAGGTGGTTTCATAACGCACAATCGGCCGTAAAGCAGCTCTAGGAGACAGAGTACAAGGGAAGGTACCTTGTTGAGATGCTACCACCACTAGTCAGGAAGGAGAAAGATCCTGACCCAGCATTTGATCGCCAGAGGGAACACAAGCGTATTCGAATAGATGCTCCGGTCTCTACAACTAATTTGTATGAACAGTACATCTCTACTAACCGGCTTCATGACGAAGAGGCAGGTTGCGATAAGGCTATTGCGTACTGGCTATCTCGCTACGACTCCCAAAGAGATCTCGCTCGCTTCGCTCTAGACATGTTTGCGATCTCGCCTATGTCAGATAAATGCGAACGTCTTTTTAGTAGCGCGAAGCTTACTGTTATCAATCGCCGTAGTAGGCTGAAGGCAGATATTATAGAGGCTTGTGAATGTCTCCGGGCCTAGTATAGAAGGCCCCAAATTGAAGATAACAGCAATAGCGAGGATAGTGAGAATGGCGACGATATGGTCGATATCTACTAGTATATACATTCTCTTTCTTCCTTCTACAACTTCAACCTCATTCTTGGCGGTCTTGGCGGTCTTACTGGTCTTACCGGTAAGACCATACCGGTTATTACATAAGCAGCTGGTATGGTATGGTTTGACCTCCATACCATACCATACCGGACCATTCCGATCACTGCCCCCACGATGGTCACCTTCCAAGTTACCCTTGGGTTTTCTGTGGGCGAGCAACAGAAAGGAGGGAACATTGTCTTGCTATAGAATGAGGGGCGATGAGACTATATACATAACGAGTGCTTACGTGATCTAGCACGTGAAGAGCTAACTGTATTGACTGACATTGTAGCATTATTAGCGTTATAATACCCAAATCGGTTTCTCGCATACGTCTCAATCACTCAGTATGCAAACGTCTCCCCGACAAGCTCCTCGCTCAATTTCCACAACTTCTCCACGTCCTCCAGATTGGCAGCAATCGGCTGCACTTTCCCCAGATTTCCGTCCTGGAGATACGCGCCATTATACGCATCCAACCGATGATCAAACGCAGCAACAACATGCGTAGCGGTGCATTCGTCCAGCGTCTTAAAGTCAAGCTCCTGCGTCCATCCAATTGCCTCGTCCTTGGCCTCTGCAAGATCATCAGCACACATCACGCAAGAAACCACGCGTCTAACATACTCAGACTTTTCATATCTTCCTCCCCGAACCCCTGCGGCGCAAGACTCGTCCCCACGTTCACTCCAGGGTGCAAACTGTACGCCCTCACACCCCTTTCCCCAAGCCTCGCCGCCAACCCCTTAGAAAACAGTATATTCGCAGTCTTACTCTGCCCATATGCTTCCCACTGGTTGTACACCTCTCCATTCTTGAACCCCGGGTCGGTGAAGCGTATCCCGCTGTATCGATGGCCGTCGCTGGATACATTTACGATCCGCGGGTTGGGCGAGGAGAGGAGCAAAGGCATGATGAGGTTTGTAAAAAGGAAGTGTCCAATGTGGTTGCTGCCGAATTGGGATTCGAGGCCTTCCGAAGTAGTGGAGTAGGGCCCGCCCATTATACCAGCAGAGTTTACGAGAACGTCGATGCGCGACTCAGGGTAGGCGAGGACTTGTTGTGCGGCGGTGCGGATTTGGGCTTGCGAGGAGAGATTGAGGATTAGGATGCGGGTTGGTACCGAGGCGCTGGAGGGGTGAGATGCAATTTTATCGGCGGTGGCCTGGACCTTGGGGGCTGAGCGGCCCGCGAGGATGAGTATGGCGGGCTTGTGCTTTGCGATTTCTTCGACAAAGGTTGCTCCGAGGCCGCCTTGCGTAACACCTGTTGTTAGCACAATCTTGCCTGCTATTTTCGAGGCTAGGTCGCTCGCGATGGTTGAGGCTAGGGCGTTCTGCCGGTTGTAAGGGAGGGGTGAAGACATTGTGATGTTGGTTCACGATGGAACTAAATGGAGATACTTTGAAATACTACGTAGTAAGATTTTCTATCGTATATATGTATAAATTTCTCCCCTTCAGGCCTCCGACGGAGATTAGGCAACAACGCTTGTACTGGGTATTCTAGCTACAGTATATCGTGGCTTACAAATGTGTGCAGAGTCATGTCCATATCTGGCGTTTCTACATGTTAACTCCGTTTCTAAACCCCGCGCTCCCCGAAACATTTCGGTTGGCACATTTATTATTATCGACAATGGGCGCTTCATGCTAGAGGTCTCACGGGTATGTGACTGGGCTGAATCGATGTGAGTGACAGGGTCTATCCTTGCTCACTGTGCCAGATCAGGCAGTCGCGTCTTGGCTACCACAAATACTGATAACGTCAGAACAGGCAGCTGTAAGGGGCTACGCCTAAGTGCCACAAGAGGCTACGCCGAAGAACTTCCCGCTTATCTATCTTTGTATTAGCGTACGGAGGATAAATACCGTACGAGGAGGACGCTACTCTTCTTTTCCTTATCCTTCTTCTTCTGTACATAGGAGCAAATGCATACTCGTTAGCAGGCCTCTTTCCGCCCATAACATGGCGCTCTTCTAGAAGCTTCGACAGACATGCTACGTGACTACTATTTTTAGAACGTGCGTCGTGTCCCTGACATCTCAAGTGGGCGTCTTCCAGTTGTTTCCTTCCTACGTTTTGCTGAAATGGATCTAGCCAGTCTCGTGCTGGCGCAACCCTCTCTCCAGGAGTGTCCTAGACCTGGGCTGCCTGAGCAGATCGAAAGAATGTTCCATTCTCCACCCTTCACCATCGGTCTCTCACAGTTGCCAACAAGCAAGTCAAGCAAGTCAAGCAAGTCACTGCCTCAAACTTGACTTGCTTGGTTAGAGAGTAGGCGTAACTTGACTTGCTTGGGAGCAATTTGTTGCTTGCTTAACTTGCTTGATTTGCTTCTAAGTACTTGATTTACTTGACTGCTAAGGGACTAAACACTACTACATTACTAAGCTAACTGTCCCACTTAAGTATATTGTAATTATCTAAAAGTTCCTTGTCTGAAAGCTTAGCCTCACTATAAATAGTTGGTTTATAGCCAGCTCGCACCTAGGATCTTACTAGTTAAAGAGCTGCGAGTAGCTCACTGCCTAGAGCTCGTCGCTTTGGCTCAAGTAGGTCGCTAAGCTCGCTGAAGAGGCGCTCGCAGTCGCTGCTCGATGCTGGGATAGTCATAATATCGATGGCAAACTGCGCTAAATGCGGGTATTTTAGCAGTAATTGAATCCAGTATTAGACTGGATTGCCATTCGCTGTATACTGCTCCTGCGTCCACTGCGGCTCCTGCATTTTCCAGCGCTCAAACTCGTCCAGCGGAGCTTCTCGGCCGACGTTTTTGCCGAGTATAGCGCTAATTGCCTCGTCTATATTGTTGCTACTCGTTACAGCCGTGTACGACTAGCGTGGGCGCTAAGGTTTGTACGCCGCCCAGAGCTGCTGAAACGCTACGTTAGCACTGCTAAGCCACCCAGCTTTGTCAGCCTAGGCTACATCGCAGTAAGTTTTATAGTACGGGTAGAGGCACACGGCAGCGTAGTAGGCGGGCGAGGCGTCGAGCTTGTTGTAGTAGTCGTTGGCCTTGGCCTATGCGGTAAGGAGGTTGACCTTAAGGTAATCCTTAGGGGCCTCTGGGTGAGCGTTAAAATCGACCTGCTCAAATGGGCGTGCCTGGTCCTCAAGCTGGCTGAGTACATACTCAAAAACTGGTATAACCTCATATATTGCCCTAAATTTGCCATCTTTGCTGCGGCCCTCGAGCCGTTTTGTGGCGTACTTAAGCGGCGTTAAGCAGTCCTGATACTCTGCAATTACTGCCCAATCAGCAGCTCGCAGGCCAGTTAATCTCATCCAGCTTAGAGCTTTAGGCCGCTTATTGTTCTGCTTGTTAGCGTGCGCGTCTTCGAGGATAATCCTATTAATGTAATGCTTAGCGTATAAGTTATAAGCAGCTAAAAGCTTAGTAGCTCGCTCAAAAGCGGCATAGTAGGAGTTCTAGCGAGTAACAACAGGCTTAACAGGCTCGAGTACTTTGAGACGCTCCTTGGTAGGCAGGTTGTCGTTGGCGCGGCGCTGGAAACTGCGAAAAAGCTCGTACTGCTGCGGCGTTTTGATATAGTTGATGACGTCAACTAGGACGCCTATAGGGCCATCTTTCCGCTACTCTCGCATGTACTGCTCCTCAGTACTGTACTGCTCTCGAGTGTTACTGTAGGCGTCCTTGTTGTTACCAAATATAATAGCCTAGCTAATTAGGTTGAGCGTGTAGCAACTGCAGCGGAGGCGCCAGTAAGCTAGGTCGAAGTTGTACTTACGGGCGAGCGCGGCGATTGCAGTGTCGTTATTAGCGGCGTTATCTAGTACAAAGTAACCTAATCGGTTGCTAGTTACTCCGTAAGCCGAGAGGGTCATCGAGATAGCTTTAGCAATAGCCTCACCAGTGTAGGCGCCAGCGAGCTTAGGCAGGTCAGTAGGCAGGTCTTGTATTATTCTAGCTGCGTCAGCAAAGTGAGCGACTACTCTAAAAAAGCCACGTTTACCACCTTTTGTCGTCCAGCCGTCAAAGCTTACATGTATCTTGCTTACTGCGCTTGATAAGGCGTCGACAACCTGCGGTTGTATAGACCTAAACAACCTCATTACAAATGTAGAAACACTCGTGTAACTTACCCACAATGCCGCCTCTGCCTCTAGGTTAGCAAACCTTATCATCTCTCTAAAATTAGGCGCTGTAAGCTCACTAAGAGGCTGGTTTTGGTTGACGAGCCACATAACAGTAGCTACTCGAAAGCCTTGTACGTCGAAGTTTCCGAGTGCGTTAGCGGTAGGCTGAGGCATCTCTAATCCAGCGTCAAAAGCTTGCCGCAATAATAGCTGCCCCTGTCCTCTTAGCGTCGACTTTAGGCTATCTTTTGTGAGGTTGTGCCCACGTTTTGGCTGGCTGAGATAGGTAGCTGCTAAGGTAGTAGCCTAAGTAATATTAAACAAACCACCACCGCCAGCGTCGATAGTTTTGTGGATGTGGCAGTACTTGCACACAAACCAGATCCGATTAGTAGCCTAGCGCTTAACAACGCGGTAGCCATACCGAAAAATCTAGCTTTTAGGACGCTTAGAGCCCGCTAGTGGCTTCATGTAGCCAGGTAAACGAGCCCAGTCAATGCCGTCAAAGCTATCAGCAGCGCTGTTTATCTCATCTTAGCCATTATCTTTGTCTCTAGCCTCAGTTGTAGCCACCGTAACAGCCCTGCTACCCTCGGTAGGCGCAACGATATCATCCTCCACATGCGATTCCAAAAACTGCGACTCGAATGTAGGGACTAGCGACGAGACAGTGGCCTGGCTTACGGCAGCGAGGGCTTTACGAGGCGATCGACGCTGAGATGCTGGCTGAGATGCTGGCTGAGATGAGGCCGCAGGAGTTGAGATGACGTCGTCGGTAGCAGCAGCTACTCTCAAACGTTTGCTACTCGAAGAGGTATGTAGTACACGGCGTTTGGCCATATTAGGGCAGTCGAAAACACCAGAAAGAAGCGTTGATACAGGAAAATGGAAATCGCGACAGGCTTCAAAACAAGGCTGAGGTTAGGATAGGAGTAGGGCGCTAAGCTGTTTTAGCAGCTGTGTAGCCTATTGTAGCCTGTTTAGGAAATAGCTGAGGTAGTTGCAGCACTAAAAAGAACTGCAAGGCTAAAAAAGCATCGCGAGATCTGCTATACAGTCGATTATAGTTAATTTAACCAAGTAAACCAAGCAAGTCAAGCAAGTAAGGCACGCTAACTTGACTTGCTTGGTTCGCTGTGCAGCTCTGACTTGACTTGCTTGCTTGGTATGAACCAAGCAAGTTTGAACAAGCAAGCAAGTCAACTTGCTTTTTGGCAACACTGGTCCTCCCGAGAGGCTCTTATTGCTGCTCTTGAGACAGTCTCTGGTGTCGCTGGAGAAGCCCTTCTTACGCAGTTTTCGAGTGTCCTCGCCGCTCATCGAAAACGGACGGAAGCAGAGCGTTCTCGTACAAAGGGACAAAGCAAACAACGCAAGCGGCAGGGTAGTAATGCAAGCATCATCTTAGTTGAGGACTTTGATGGTGTTGAGAATATCCCCACATTACGCAAGCTTCACAATCTCGCGGTCTGGCTCCGAGGTTTAACTATCCACCAGGGTCTTTGGGATAGAGCTATCGGTCTACGCCTCGGGATTGATAATCGGACACGATGGTCTTCATGGTATCAGGTCATCTCACGAGCCTTAAAGAAGATGGACAAGATCAAGAGCTTTATGACCGACTACGAGGACATCCTGGGCGACAATCGGCTTCAAGCGAACGATTGGGATATCCTCGAAAAGGCTGCTCACTTTTTAGAGCCATTTGCATCGGCTACTCTCTACGCAGAGAAAGACAAGTCATTGGTCGCGCAATCGCTTGAGCTGATGGATCTCCTATTAACGTGGTATGAAGAGCAGAAGGTTAGTATCTAGTTCTACTTAATAGGTCTGAATACTCACGTTTAGTAGAACTACTACTCCTTACCTGAGAACCACGATGAACGCATGATTCGAGCCATCGATATGAGTTGGTACGTACTCGACAAATACTACAAAAAAACGGGAGAAACAACTGTGTACGCTGCTGCGATACTACTCGATCCGCGCAAGCGAGCCGCCTACCTACACTAGAACTGGCCAGAAGAGTGGGTGGAGCCTGCCATTGAACTCGCCAATACAATCTGGGTGAACGATTTCAAGCCTGATATCAAACCAGATTCTTTTCCAGCTCCAGAGAACGCACCTGGTATCTCGGCTGGCCAGCTAGATAAGCCTGTGAACGTCTTCACCTTATTAAAACAGAAGACGAAGGTGAAGACCATCAGTTTAAAGCCAGATGACAACTTTAGAAGTTTTATTAATAGCCCAGCTATTAATTTGAATAATGGAGTCACTCCTCTCGAGTGGTGGTGTTAATCTGAGCAGCGTCGCAGCTTTCCAGGGCTTAGCCGCATGGCAATGGCTATTCTATCTATCCCCGCAGAATCGTCAGAGCCGGAAAGGACATTCTCTGGGGCCAGAAGGACCTGTTCATGGGACAGATTGCGATTGCGATGCACCACTATCGAGATGATCGAGTGTATCGGCAATTGGATACGACAGAGGCACATTAAGCCGGTCTGGAACAATAGGATGGGTCTACCAATTGAGCTAGAGCTTCAGGAAACTCTCCTTAGTGTTGTGGATGAAGGAACGGGTGGGATAGATTGGTATTAAAGCAAGTAACTACACTAACATGTTCAAATTAATGTTTATTTACTTAACGCGGTATTTATCGCGGTATTTATCGCGGTTAAACACCATAATTAACGTTGTATGGTTTACACGATACTAATATGGTATGGTTTAGAGCGATTCTTAATGTGGTTCAACTACGATAGTCATGTATGTCCCCCCCTTCCGTGGCAGCAGTTGATGTTGGTTAAAGTGTGTGCTCATCTGTTTTAGCGCTGACTTAGTTCGTAACCGTATAAACTTGCAGCAAGTACACTGGTAGCCGCGATAGAGTCTAAGCTCTGGGATTGGCGAATCTGTTGCTAGTGGCATAGGAATAGTGGTAGTTGCTGAATTAAGGAGGGGGTATTGGTTAAGGAGATAGTTTGCGAGCAGGTCAGCTGGCTTTCGTAATGGAGAGGGTAGTAAGGAATTAATAGCAGCATAACGCGCATCGTTAAGGTGGTGGACTCTAATGTGGGTGGCAAGAGTAATAGGCGGAACAGCATAGCCGCATGGCTTGAACAGCAGTACGCTAGAGGACGCATAGAAAGTAAACAAATCCATAGTTAGGGACTGTGCAGTAACTGCAGTAGTAGCGGCAAGCAGTAGAAAGCAAGGAAGAGGGATATCAGCAATATAATACGCGTTCTTAGTAGATAACAGCGGCTTGTTGACAGAAGAAACGCGTACGCGTTGCGTGCTAGTCGACTTGGGTCTATTGTTGTTGTTGCTGTTTGCTCTCTCTCTCTCTTGGCACATAGATGCCTCAAAATGCAAGGAAACTACCCTAATGTACATACATCGCTCAGTCTCCCCAACTGGAAGGGGAGCTGTATCTCTGAAATGGTAGCAATACCCGCGCAGGCAAGAAATGCTTTCTAAGGTAGTTTAGCAGCACTGTAATTCCATAGCTTAGCACGTCCTACATGCCCTTCGGGAGGCGAGACGGCGGACTTAATCCCCATCAACTAGACGAAAAATGAATACCAACCAACCAACCAACCGACCAACCCCTTCAACCCCGACGTTATACTCGATCGCTTCATCAACGACGACTCAGACACCTCTAGCAATGCGTCAGAGGAGGCTCCTACATATGGCGGTGAGGCGTGGCAGAAGCTAAACACAGTCATAAAACGTGCGTTGAGTGGTGCCTCAGAAAAGGACGCATCTACTATTCGGCAATCGCTCCACCACATAGCTATACAGAACACCCTCCTGCAGAGCGAAAATGAGGGTTTGCTTGACGCTCTTACTGTCAAGAAAAGGAGAGATATAAAGGGCGAGTCTCTAGACTTGCTGCAACACTATGAGTACTGGGGACCTTCAATGATGTGGACTCCTCGGTCATTTAGAGAAGCCAAGGTACGCATGAAGCAGGCACAAGAAGAGAAGGAAGCAGATCAGTTAGACAAGGCTAATATGAGAGGGTTAAAGACGGCTAGTAAGCTATAAAACGACAAGATTGCGGAAAAAAAGAAGGCGCAGCGTGCAAGAGACCAAGAGGCACGGAAGAAGGAGAAGGCAGAAGAACGTAAGGCCATTAATGCGCGCAAAGAAGAGCGACGCCTTAACAAGGAGAAGAAAGACTGTGAAAAAGCTCTACAACTGTCCCAGAAAGACAAGCGTAAGGCTTCACAAAGTATAGCACTAAAAAAGAAGCAGAAAGTGGGTGTTGCTGCTGCGCGTAGTCGTGTTGTTGCTACAGAGCCCCCTCAGCAGCTTCGCACCCACACTACCCGCGGCGGCAGAACAGCAACTCTATATGTAAGCATAGGGTGGTAGTATTATAAGGTCACATGAATGAGTGTATTCTTCTGTGTATGTACAAATGTGTGATCTGAGCTCTTAAGTAGTCGGACGCATTAGTCATGCCTGCAGAGCAGTCATGTGATGTGGTCCTAGGCTTACAGAAGCATCTCAGTACACAAACAAACAAATATTCTAGCTCATATTTGTTTGATTTGTTTGTGGTGGTGTTGTCTTGGCAAAGTGATCAGCTCGCTTGTGTGATCAGCTCGCTTGTGGCTCACGTTACGTCGATTGACGTTGTTTTTTGGTGTTTACCCCGAACCCTATCTAACCCTAACGCGCTGTGCCCTATAACCCTAACCCTTAGCGGCGCGATACTGCGCGCACGGCCAACCCTAACGAACACGATCACCCCAACACTGTTCATTACATATCTCCCTCCACAACAGTTGGATTATCTTTAAAGCAAGTGCAATCGACGCGCCTGAGCTTGCTGCACTAGGCTGTAAAGTTGCAGCATTTTGCGACCCAGGACGCCTTGAATCCCCTCGATTTTCGAGATCAGGGGATTCTGCGTCGCTCATTAGGGTTTCTCGAGGGATTCTGGGCCATAGCCTTGAATCCCGTCGCCCATTAATGATAGGGTCGCTCATTCAGGGTTTCTTGGGGGATTAAGGGCTATAGCCGTTAATCCTCTCGCCCATTAATGATAGGCTTCAAGAAATCGAAACAGCACGCAACGTCGCGAGGCGAAGCCCGGAGTGTGCGCATCCACGCTATGATATCACTCAACAGGAGCAATCTCTAATGCACATCCTGTTGCATGACCGCCTAACGGGGAGCGATGTCTGTATATCAGTAAACAAAAGAAGGACAAAAGAAGAACAAGAGAACAACAAGATTACGATCAAAACCGGAAGCAGGAACAACAAGCAGACTTAGTCATTTTGATTTCTGGTTGGCAAGCTCCTGTCTCAAGTAATCAAGGCAGCGAAAGGGAGGAAAAATCCGCAAACTCCGGCTTAAAAAGCACAGACTGTCGAGCTCATCGTCTTCTATAGTGAACACCGACTTCCTAAAGTTAGCTGACGGTTTCGCTTTTAAGACGTGCATTGTAGTGGGCCAGCATTCCCCTGGAAGCAAACGGAAGGCGTACTCCGCACTCTTTTCGGATTTCGCTAACCGCATCTCTTGGCAATCGACCTGCAATCTCTAAACGACCCATCGAAATCGGAACTCTGTTCTCGATGCACACCGTACTATAGAGGCGCCCGGTGTTTGTACTCTATGTTATTCTCTGTGTTGTAGCTGGCTAATTGTAAGAAGGTGGCAAATAGGTGTTAGGGCCACATCGAGGACAGCATTGTTTTCCGTAAAGTAATTATTCTGTATTGCGTTCTACGTGGCGAATTTCCCAAAGGTTAGACACGCATTTTCTTGGCTTATAACATTTTTTAGATTATTGATCATCAAAGCGGAGCAAGAAGGATTACGCACGCTCATAATGCACTCACCGCCGTTACAGATAGATCTGTGTGGCGTATAAGAAGCATGTTTAGATAATATGAACAGTGATTGTGCTAAGACCGCTTGGCGGTGTTACTTGCTAATAAACTATAAAGCTATCAGACCTCCTTCGTCCTCTCAAAACTCAATACAACACAAGAACTCACTACTATCCACTCCTTTACTACCATCTACTCTTTTACTACCATTCAATCTTTCACCGCCATCTACTCTTTCCAAACCCGAAAATGAAGTTCTCCGCAATCACTTCTGCTCTGCTCGTTGCAGGTGCTTCTGCTGCCGCCGTCCCTGCGAAACTGCAAGCTCGCCAGGACAGCGGCTCCTACAATATACCGGGGCTTGGTGCTCGCAAGCAGCAGGTCACCGCTGCCGGCGCCAACTCGTTCGATCTTGCCATCGCCATGCTGGAAACTGACAACATGGACACCAACGTAAGCACCCACCCCTCCAGCACCGGACTTGTATGTGAGATCTCTACTAACGTTAGGTTTCTACTACTAGTACGTATACGGCGACAACAAGGTTGACGATGCTGCCAACTTTGGTATCTTCAAGCAGAACTGGGGCATGCTGCGCGTGTGCTGCGACAGCTTCAAGGGACAGCCTCTATCCGACTGGAACAACGGAGCGCTTCTGAAGTAAGAAATCTCTAGTACAGGCATAGGAAACCGAGGGAGAAACAAATGCTAACAGTACACAGCTCCGACCTTGAGGCCGACGTCCATTGCTTGAAGCAGTGCCAATCGCACTACGGACTCCGCACGTGGCTCGCCGGTCACCGCTGGGGCGAGACTGGTTTCAATGACCCCAACACCGAAGACATCAACAGTGAGTATTTTTTGAACCACGTGAAGAAGGATTACGCTGACTTAATCTCGCAGACTACATCAGTGGCGTCGAGCACATTGAGCAGCAGCTCCTGACTCAGCCTGATGCCATGACCAACGATAACAGGTACTACATCTACGTTGTGCCCGTCTAAGCTACACCTGGCTTTGAACATTAATGTTAGGTACTACCTCAACGTTGTGCCTGACGAAGAGTTATTATCAGGATGATAACTGCACAGACAGCTAGTCACCGTGT